ATGTGAGGACGACTGCATATACACCTAAAATTGGAGCTGTTTGGACGTGTTAAAGGATCAATTAGCGATTTGACACAGAATCTGTGTTGTCATCCATTAGCTACACTTGCTTTGTCCTTTAGGAGGTCCTGGAGGACCAGAGCCCATCCTGACAGGTCGATAGCCCATCACAAGGCTAACACAGACAGACAACGTGCATGCTCACACTCACACCTTTATCCAATTAATAAATGCCTAGTTATTAATTGGATAAAGCCAACACAGGAACAGAAAGAACATGAAAACTCCACACAGAACGTCCATCCATCGGTTACACCCACTGAGCCTCTGTAGAGGCTTTGTGGGGCTCAGACAGGCTACCAGTCGATCACAGGGCTCGTACATGGAGACAGACCATAATTCAGCCCTACAGGCAGCTCAGAGTCACCAGTTCACCTGTTCTCTGTGTTTCTGACCATCCACACAACAAGCACTTCTTATAGTGAGTTTCTTTAAATCAGTAACAGCACGCCAGTACATCCTGTGATCAGCCAACCAATGAAAGCTTCATATTCATGCTGCTAAATGCTCTGCTGGTGCTGGGTTTGTGTAGTGCATGTTTATTAGAGACATGTGGGGGTTTTGGCCTGGTATAGTTCTAGAAATGGTGAGAGAAAACAATAACAGCATCTTTACATATGAACTGGGATGATGTTTTCAAGTATTCTCTTTAAAACAGAAAAAATGATCAGAAAGAATAAATACAGCAACAGATTAATGCCTAAAAGGTCACATGTGAACACTTGTGAAATAAATTAGGTTAATTTGCATATGAACTTCCACCTCTCGTGCGCTGTGCCTCCCATAGAAAACTCCCTCCACCACCTGCCTAGCAGGCCGGTGGACGGTGAGACAGAGTAATGATCTCTCCAACGCCGCCCACCCTAACCCCATCATTAAGAGGGGGAAGAGAGCGCGGCCCTGTTGGGTTCACGGGTCACCCAGGAGGACCACGCACCGCTACATGCTTAACACGGGATGGGATTGGAGACACTAATTAGGAGAGAGGCAGGGAAACAAAAGCAAGGAGGGATGTGTGTGTGATGCAGTAAATATATGCCCTTCTGTGGTGCGTCTCCGGCTCCCTCAGGATAATGTATGGCATGATATGTTTTTAATTGGGCTATTAGCCATGCAGCTGAGCTCCAGAGAGATGCCCCCTGTCAGACACCCAGGGGTTAACAACTGGGGTTACCCCTCCACGTTCAAAGGCCTCTTGTTTACATTTGACTGAGCTGCCCCAAGGGGAGGCAACATGAACCTCCTGCTTCCACCTCTACCTTTTAAAACAAAGCCATGACAAACCGTCTGCATTAATCACGCATATTAATGTGTTTGCACAAAACCCACGGATTCAGCAGAACTCTGTGTAACATCGCACTCCGACAAAGGTGTTGAATTCTGCGACGTTTCTTTAATGCCAGCGTGCTGTTTGTTAAACCGGTGCCAGCTTTGTGTCCTGAAAACAGAGGATTAATCACTTGTTGCCCGTCTGCGGCGGCGTACTGCACCGCCAAAGCAGGCAAACATGGCTGAACTTTCGCACAGCATCCGACTTCTTTTGAAGTCGAACATTGTGTAACCTAATAAGCTACCGTTTTCTCACAACATCTGCTTGTCAACCCCGCTTTCAACTCTGAGCCTTTGCCAGCCAACCCAAAATGGGGGGATTTAAAGAGGAGAAGAAAGAAAGAACAACAACAAACCCCCCTCTTTGAATCTCCTCTTTGGGTAACGAGGTGCAATTACGGCCAAATGATTGTAATATTTTAGCCTGCTACATAATCAAGAAGAAAACCCGTTTCTTCTGTAATGTAAACACTACTTAGGCTGCTTTGGATCTTTAAACTGGTGAATTAAAAGCTGCTTGAACTTTCTGAGACATGTTGCTGAATGGCAGAGCATGCCAAAGGAAGTTAGAGTTACCTCAGTTCTAAATGGGCCGAGGAGACAATAAATAAAGTTAAAGATGTGGTCAGACGATGGAGAGGAGAAGCAGGGATGGAGATGTGGTACAGAGAGCAGGAGATGACGGAGAACAGAGGACAAACGTGAGAGAGGGAAACACAGAGACTCATCTGATCTCCTAAGGTCAGTTCATATTTCTGCTTCCACATGTTGCAGTGGTTTGCTCCTGTGAAAGCACACGTCAGGGCTTTGGGGGCTACAGAGAGCTGAGCAGCTCGTCTTCCTCCAACACGGTGGAGCAAAGACTAGACGGGTGAAGTGGAAGAACAGCTCCATTCAATTCAATTCAATTCAATTCAATTCAATTCAATTCAATTCAGTTTTATTTGTATAGCGCATATTTACAACAACAGTCACCTCATAGCGCTTCACAAAGACAGAGACACCCAACAATCCAAACATCTGGATTCTCTATAAGCTTCAGCAGTCTGCTGGTGGGACGGAACCAAAACCCCCACAGGGGAAAAACAACCTCGGACAGAACCAGGCTCAGGGAGGGACGGCCATCTGCCTCCACCGGTTGGGTGAGAGCTCAGAAACGTCTCCTTGTGAGCAGCAGCACACGTTCTCATTGTGCCATATCGTGAACAGAAGCGTGAACAGTGCAAACCGTTTACATTACAAGGGAAAAAAAAACGACTGATCATAACAACACAAACATCTGTGGGCCACTGACTATCCTGTGATGGTGGCCACCTGTCACTCAAAGTAGCCACGCCCACAATTATGCATAACTTTAAGCCTCAGCACAATTTCAATTGGTGTAACTTAAAAATCTAAATCAGCTGTAGAGATGATAGGTGTTAGTGGGACATTGTAAGGCGGGGGTCTAAGAGGATGGTTCCACTTCAACCTCATGTGGCCATTTACGGAACTGCAGTTTGCTTTTGTTTCTTTGCACTGATCTGGACCCTTGTTCCAGCACATTCATATTACTTGTTCTGTGCAGCTTGAAAAGTCAAATGATTTTGTAATACCAAGGATTAGAAAAGATAAAATAAACAACTGTCCATAAGTTTAAAACCGCTTTTTTTTGAGCAAAGTGGAATTAGGGATGAAAGAAGGAATGAGAAAGTAAAGAGAAAGTGATTGTAACTGGGTCATTCCATCTCAAATCATCAACAACTTCTGCTTGAACCATCTCTGATTTACCTAAAGTTTGCTTAAAATACAGATATTTCTGAAACTGTAGACTGACATGTCAAATACGTTTTGAGATACTTTATTTGAAGTTGCCTGTCGACCACTGAAATGTACGACTAATTCAGCAACTATTAAAGATAAAAACTGGAAAAATTCAGAATCTGCAATACAAGTAGATGGAATCACCTCTAATTATGGGAGAGTTGAATTATGAAACAAAACCTGAGGCTGTCATAAAAACTTGGATCTCTAAACACACACTAACAAAAACTGGATGATGCAGAAGTCCTGATGTTTTCTGAACCACACACAGCTGCATGTCACAACTCTACAAAACAAAACATTTAGAATGCTGAGCTAAAAAAAATAAAAGAACAGTTGTTTCTATTGAACTTTCAGAAAGTAGCTGATGGATCAATCTGAGGCTTAAATACGGATGGAACATGATGATAAAAAGCCATCAGAGACGGTCGAGCAGGAGGCACCTGATGATTTCAGATGGAATAAACGACCTTCTGTGTTGAAGTCATTCATTTGGAACTGGCTGCATTTCTACTTCAGGCCACGCCGTCCCTGCCTCCTCACCCTCCTCCCATCAGTGCATTTTGTCTGTCACACAGGTGAGTAGGAAGAGAGGACCATAAAATGAAAGAAGGGGCAGAAGAGAGAGCTGATTACCTGGGCAGACCTGGCGAGCTTCTGACCGTACTCCTTCTCAATCTGCTTCAACCTGCTGTTGATCTGCAACAACAAGGAAGAGGGGAGTGTGAGAAAGAGATGTGCAGACACAAAAAGAGACGGAGCGCTAAAACCCAATCCCGTGTTAGGAAGTGCACGGGGACGCTCACACCCCCCCACACGGTGCCGACCTCCGGCCCCGGCAGCGTGGCCCCGCCAAGCAGGCCTGTGGCCCCTTGGCCCCGAGCCAGTCCCGGGGCTCATGTGTGCCAGCAGGTAGTGACGGGCATGGTGCACAGTGGGCACCACTCCTGTTTGATCCCCAGCCAACAATTCATCACTTAACAAGGAGGGGGGCACGAGGGGGGGAATTAAAACGTTGCTGCCAATTAGCTATAGGGTGAAAAAACCAGAGCTGATGGAGAGGAGCTGGGAGACTCACCAGGGTGGAGACAGAATAGGAGTGAATGGAGATTGTCGTTAGAAGTTTATTGAGCGCTGCTCGCCTCTTTGTTTTCCGTTGTTTCTCTATGGGAAGCTAGCCAGCTGGAAGCAAAGACTGAGACTGTCTAATACAAGATCTGTCTCCTTTCAGCTAGCTGTGTTGTGATGCCAGAGTCTCAATAAGAGGCTGAACAGTGGAGTGAGATAATTAGGTGTGAAGTGCTGGAATTCCACGGGGACGTCAATGGCGGCCTGTACGCACAGCGATGGCTCCATACACCAACTGCAGGAAGACTGAGGCTCAAACTAATGGAGGATACAGGTCACTGTGTGAAAGCCAGGCCGCTCTTTTCAGGACTTGTGGATGGAGTTTTACACTCTAGTCTCAGAGTAGAAAGTGTATCATTAGATTCATATGATTCAGCTTCTTTTGCTGTTATTCTAAAAACACACAATACAAAAACTTTTCCTTTTATTTACCACATGTGCTACATTTAGCCTGTTGCAGTCGTCTAACTGGCAGCTGCTCCAGTTTCCTTGTTATTCATCTCATCTTATCTTAAGGAGGCAGAAAGAAACTCTGGAAAACTGCTTCACTGAGCATTTGCTAAGTCCAGGACACCGACTGTTTTAACTCTGTAAAACTCACTGTTTAGCTCATACAGTTGAAGGAGGTAAATGCATCACTATGAAACTCTTCAGAAGCTGCTAGAAAATGCAGTAAACCTTCATGTATAGCACCTTACCCTAACCTTCAACTGATTCTTTACCCTCAAGTTGCCCTTTAAAGTCCTGAAAGTCCTCACAACCCATGAAACGTACTCAAAACACTGTCTGTGAGTCAGGACCGGTCCTCATAAAGACAGCCCAATGAGCTGGCACACTGACAGGCTGGTGACCAAACGCTGCTCCACTGAATGCAGCCATCAACACCTGAGCTGCGTGCCGACTCTGCACCTCGTCCTCCTGACGTCCGCTCTGAATGGACACACCTGTCACCACAGAAACACCGAGCCATCACCAAGGATACAGGCCTGTCTTCCTGCGCCAGGGCTCCCTGAGCGTGGGCCCGCTCGTCCCAGGGGCCCGGCAGCAGCTGACAAAGGAGGGTCCAGAGAAAGAACCGTCTGTGGGAGAGGGGCAGTAATGGAGTCTTAGGCTCCTCCGTACAGGTTTGTCGCCTCCTTTTCCCTCCATGTTCAGGGACTAACTCTCTGATTTGTTTGTTTGTTTGTTTATTTGTTTGTGCTTTGACTTTTGTTGTCATGTGTCAATGTGCAGCACTTTGGCTACCCCTGTGGTTTTGAAAATGTGCTATATAAATAAAGTGATTGATTGATTGATTGATTTGTGGTCCACATGCACTGGTTGGCCTCTTTAAGAACTGATTTCCTTTTGTTAGTTTATGAAATTTTTAATGGTCTTGCTCCTTCATATTTATCTGATTTGCTTTTATGTTACGGACCTCCACGTCTTCTGGTAGTGGCTTATTAATTAAATC